GAGGGAACTCTGTGCTTTCAACTTGTTAAGGAAACGGACATATCAAGGAGGCTTCAAATCCCTGGGAAAATCAATGGCGCTCGCTCATCAGATAGCACTTACCCAAAACAGACCCAATGGAAAATCCTTTGTGTGTCAGCCAAGATGTAATTGAACACACCCAATCATCAGACCATATGTGATGTGAACGAACTCTCTGGTACCTGATGTTTTGCTGCCACCAAAGGGTGCCAAACCTCGCGAAGTCACAGGCACTTTCTTCCGACCTGTGCAGGGGACTGCTTACAGGCCTGCATCCAGCGCAAGAAATTACCAGGCAGCAGTTATGCGAGGCAATGTCTTTGGAAGAGGAACCACCAAGGCATACCAGAGCCCACCAAGGTTCTTCAGATGGATGGAAAACAGACGTCAACAAGGTATGCTTTTAGTAAATTCACTGCCACAAAAAGCTCCATTAAGCTAACTTCATAGTGACTTGTTCAGTTCTTATTTGATGTGAAGTTGATGAGACATGGAAAGTGTTGACTTGGAATTCGACTGTTGCACTTCTTACTTAAAAAGTTGAAAAACTGATAGGTATGCCTGGTAGTTGGACTGGAAGAAATGGCAGAGGAAGCTCCAGCTCCAAAAAGCGCCATGTACTTGGGAGCTCAATGGCTGCCAAGGTGTAAACGCAATAAAAACTGTTAGCTTCCAGGCTGCCCTACGCTGCCTCGCCAAACACTTCAAGTGCACGAAATGTGCAACTCAAAAGCACAATCAGAGGGTGGAGGAGCGATATGAAGGAAGTTGTGGCCTTCACTGCTGGACTATGATGATGATGATGCATCGCATGATGGATGTGATGGATTAGGGCACGCACCCATGAGACCCAGTAAGACTTACAAAAAATAGTAAAAGTAGCGATAAATTAAGCATTTAAATAAAATAAGATAAAATAAAATAGCATAAGATAAAGTGGACGTCTATATAGGATACAGAAACAGTTATTGGTGCAAGAATGTTCCTGTGAGTTTTTATTCCTGCGTGACCCATGTGCTCCAGGCTGTGTGCATCAGACGCTGAAGGAGCCTGCTGTCCTAAGGCGGGAGCTGCAGAAGGGAGCCACCTCCCACTCGCCTGCTCTCTCCTGCCGAACACTGCCCCTCCGCCCACACCACCACAGGAACTCCCCTGCCTTGCGCGTTGTACACACACAGTATAGCTTCATGTTTCAGCCTGTTTACACTCTGAGCGGGCTTCTTCTTCATTTCTATTAACATTATAACAAAACCCATGATGTTTGTAAAGTTTTTGAAAGTATTTAAAGAGATTTAAACCTGACGCCCCACATGCCCCCCACCACCCCACCCCACCTGTAACGCTCTTAACGCTTGACTCTCAGATGTTCACACTGTCTTCCAAAATGCCAAATCAGAACCCGGCGGTGGAGGAGGATGAAGAAGTTGTGTCTTCACTGTGGAGCTGTTGATGATGATGGATGTGATGATTAGGGCAAATCTAAATAAAAATCTGTGACAAACCAAATATTATGCAGTTATTGTCATTCTCGCCTGGCCATGTTCCAGCTTAACAGGACCATATCCTCCTCATAGCAGGTATATTAATGGGGAAGATTATACTTTCCTGAATGTGTTACGGTCCTGTGAGTATTTCAGTTTTTGTTATTTGTGTCAGCTGTTCTGACTTTCACAGTGCTATAAAACAAGACTACAGTTTAGGCGAAAATAGTAGGGAAAAAATGTTGTTGAGACAGTTTGACCTTTGGACCATGTGACCTTTATATTTTAGATAGGCCAAACTATGGTCTAAATGAAAGCTAGGATTGTACACTTTAAAATGCTACCAAACATGCCCTCATAACATATGAGTAAAGTTCTGAAAATGAGCACAAAACAAAATATGCCCCCGGCGTTTAGAGGCCTATTTTTTGCAGGGGGTTGATAACTTTATGAGCTGATAACTGTCAAAAAGCTACCACTTAGGATGGGTTATCATACCAAAATATCATCTATGGACATGTACCTTTTCAAAAAATGTTACTAGACTTTGCCACTCTGAGTGGTACCAAAAAGTCCAATTTTGGCCTCTGGCCCATGGACTAATGGTAGATTGACACATATCGAAAATATCTGTAGTGAACGCATTGACCGAATACAAGTAAATTAACTGTACAAGTGTATCTTAAGTCGAAGCCCGGAAAAATGGCAGCAGTTAATTGTTGGATAATAAACGGCACAAGCTGAATTTTAAGGCAGTTTGTTTGCTAATTGAAACTTGTTAATCAGCTAGCTAGTAAAGGAGGCTAACGTTTTTACATATTTCCTCTTGAACTTTATTTCTTATAACATAGCATACACTGTTGGATGAATACAAAAAGCACAAATAGGGCTACCTCAGATTTGTTGGAAGAAAATTACACACTTTCCCAATGAAAGGTAATAATAACAATCAGCTAATGCTAGCTAATTATCAAGGGATGGTCGGTCCTGTGTGTAATTCGTCAGTTTGCTCACGTTATGACTTGTGCTACATTTATCATAACGCAATGTAAGCAATTGTACAAACTATTGGCAAATTTGAAGTTTTTATTCTGAAGTATGACTCTTAAAATGAGGGCAAGATTTTTGATTAAAATGTCAAATATCAAGAAACATATATCCATTAATCTATCTATCTCTATCAATCAATCAATCAATCAATCAATCAATCTCTGCTTGGGAATGTCATCACATCATTACGAAACCACACTACATATTTTTCAGATGAAATAGAAGCTTTAATAAAAATGTGTGCATATTCTAAAGAACACTACCAAAATACATACACAATTACAAAATAGAAAAATAAGTTCTTATAGGCCACCTTTAAAAAAGAACATCTATTCTTACAATAAGCTTCTTACATTCACAAAATAATGTTGCATAACGCACATAGCTTTTTCACACACAAATACATTTTGCAATGAATGAATTAAAGGTAATGATGGTCACAAAAAATTGCAGCCATACCAGAACAGTTTAGTTGTTAAAACCAACATAAGAGTGGTCTTAATCAGGCTCATGGCGATTTTTTAAGACACACCAATCACATACAAAGAATTACCATTTTGTCTTTTTTTTTTTCTGCAGATCAATGTCTCTGATCAATTTCTATAAATTAGAAGATATATAATTGGTTGCTTTATACAGCAAGTAAACCGTTTTTTTTAACACGTAAACTGTTCTGGTAGATGATGCTGCTTCTCAAGTCTTTTCATTATCACATGCACCAATTAAGTGAAGATGTGCTTGACTATCATTTTGATAACAGAAAAGTGCAATAACAAAGAAACACAGGTCTGTACATCTCCCATCAATATACCTTATTTAAATAGTCAAAGTTCTCATTTCAGGGATGTGATTCTTACAGTCACTAACAATGTGTGGACACATACTCTATCAGCTATAATAAGAAAACATGATAACAAAATGGAATTTAACTCCATTTAAACACTTTGATTGCAGGAAGTCGCTGGCTTATGGGAATGGGTGGGTCTGTTTTCATGTATTTCCAGAGTGACTATTTTTGGCTGTATTTGTTTTTCTTGCTTTCTAATTGAAACATATTTCTATATCTTCTTATAAACTAGTGAGAAAGACACAGCTTTATGGCAAATCAATAAAGATTATTTTTTAAAAGCCACAAGTGAATAAAAATCACTTATTTTGTATAAGAAAGAACAAACTACAAACATAAAATCCTTGCAGAAGCCCACGTAGGATTTGTAGGAACATGACGGGACCATCATAGGCACGCCTTGGGACATGTGCATCATAAATCAGTTGTTTCTCTGCCAATACTTTACATGGAAACAAATGGAACATTTCCTTGAACAAAAGGCACACCAATCCTTCTTTTACCAAAAACATTTATACAATTCTGCGCAAACTGATTGCTCATGCTTTGAACATAAAGAGCTTAACTCATATTTTCTTGTTGCCTACATATTGTAGACGTATTTCTCTGTGCTTGAAAATAAATACTCTGTCAATGTACAGTTTTTATGTTTTACTTTGAATCCTTCCAAAGGCAATACAGCTTATAGTATGATTGTGATATGTTTTGGATAAACATATAGGATACTTGAACATCTTTTAGTTAAACAGTTCCCAAATAAACATTTTTGCCTGCTGTGACAACAATGGGATATAACTTTGGCCCATAACGCAGTTGACTGGCAAAGTGTGCTAATCATGTTTTTGGATCCAGGTTTATGGTTTTTGAGATGTAAGATATGTGGTCCCTTTAACTTCCTTAGGGTCTAAAAGGCCTGAGATTTAACTCAGATTCCACCCAGATGTATCATGCAACCAGTGGGAGAGCCCCTGATTAGTTATATCTATAAAAGTAATTGGTGCCATTTGACCTTATAGTAATTAAATAATGACTGGATTTTTGTTTGAATTGATACAAACCTAAAATCAGAGCTAGCTCATATAGGGTAAAGGTAGATTCAAAGATAGAGCACTTCATATTTGGGATTCTCCGGTGTGCTGCCCACTTCGAAAAGCCTATAAGAACACAAATGGCACAAGTTTAGAAACAATGCAGAGAAGCAATACCACAATGTAAACATACTCCATAACAAGTTAATGTTATAAATAAATGAAAAATAAATACTCCAAATTGCACTCTAAAGCAGTAGTGTACTTAACTTAGAAGGCGTTAAGAAGTGAGGTCGCTTAATACTTACTTGTGACTGACTACTGGAGGGATTGGTACTGGTGAAGTCTGAGTATCTCTTCTTCTGTGGTGTGCAGATACAGGAAAGGAAATGGGCGTACTCCTCTCTCACCTGCAGAGGGCAGCAGAACATCAAAAAAAAATTCAAAGCTCAAAATGATTCCATCTTCATTTTAACACTTTCTCTTGTAGTTCATTTATTTATAGTGTTACTATTTATGTTATATGCCAGGCACACACTCACAAACCCACAGTTGCTGTTTCCTACCTGTTTAGACAGTAGGCAGTGCATGAAGAACACCAGCGCTCCCTGCAGGCTGTTGAGGATAGTGAAGATGTATGCCACCACTGTGTTGTCCTCTTGAAACAGGAAGGCCCCAAACACCCACATAAGACCCAGAATGCACATCTGGGCGATAGCTGTCACTGTGAAAGCTCTGTAGGGAGATCAGAGATAGAGATAGAGAATGAGAGGAAAGATTAACAGATTAACACAGCGATGACTCAGAGGCTACTGCAGTGTCTGGAAAACCCCCTTACAGTACAAGTATTGGAAAGGGAAGATGGAGTTGAGCAAAGCAGCTGTTATCTGTCTACTAAGAGCAGATTGAATAATAGAAACTAAAGGCCACTGATGAACATGTTTTTTTTGGTGATTATCTTATTAAAAGAAAAGGAAGGAAAGGATGAAGGAATAAAAGAAGAAAGGATTGAATAGAAAAAGGGAGTAAGAAAGGAAGGTAAGGAGAAAAAAAGGAAGGAAATAGGCAGGAGGGGGGGAGTAGGCAAAGAAGGTAAGGAGGAAGGAAGGGAAATAAAAAGGTTTAGACAAGAAAGGAACTATTAATAAGTAGCAAATCTAATTTACACCAGGATATGACTATATTAAAAGATCCCATGACATGGCCATTTCTACTGATCATAATTCCATTGTTGAGGAGGTGTACTACAATAGATTTACATTGTTCAATGTTCCAAACTCACATTGGTTTCTCATACAGCATCTCTGTATAGTATGTGTATTCACTCTCTGTCCTAAACGGCTTGTTGGAGCTCCCCCCCTCCTTATGAGCCCAGTGTGCTCTGATTGGTCAGCTCGCCCACTCTGTTATGATGAGTCCACCACCGTTACATTTGAACATCAGTGATTATGTGTTACAATGGCGTTAGCAACCAGAAAATGACACCAGTAATGACAAACAGGTGAGAATGCTCCGTGGGGTCTGGGTGCCGTGTTGGCGGGGCGTTGTGCGGCTCGCTGCTGCGAGGAGTGGACAGTGTGAGCTGTGTTCATTTCCTGCTTGCTGCGTGGGGTCTGCGAGACATCGCGAATGTACGCGGAAGGGGGGGTGCTGAGGGGGCTGCAGCACCCCCCTTCCCCCCAAACGCGCGCACCTACAGTGTACAGTTTCACCGCCACGAGGCTCCAAGAGCACCCCCCCCCCTCTGAAATGTGGATGAGATCATTTTCCACCAACAGAAACCTTATCACTGTTATTGAATGCTATTTCTTTAATTAAAAACATTTAACTGGGTTTTAGCACAAAAAGTTCACATTCTCAATACCCTGAACTAAATTGAGCATCACTAATTGATGAAGCAGTCTATGTTTATACAGTGTGTTGTCCATGTGCAGTAGAGTGAAAAATGGGCATTCAGTAGATGGAGTGGGGGGGGAGGAGCCCCTCAGTAGCACGTCATTAGGGAGCAGAGTTGGTACTAGAAAAACATTGGCTACATTTTTTCCCGGCAAAACACACACACACACACACACACACACACACACACACACACACACACACACACACACACAGAAA